CCAAATCACCGTCTCTTTTGAATGCGTTTGCCGGGATCGCCACAGTGGCCCTAACTGGTCTACCCCTTCTGCTCTGGCCCCTCTTAATTCCTTCTCTGTGGAGCGGCCAGATGAACTTTTAACAGTACAGCTCCTTCAAAGGCTGTCTGCTGCCTTTTTATAATAATGGTTAATCATACTCATCACCATCACACTGGCAGTGCTTTGACCAAGGCCGATGGTGGGGTGGTCACATACTTTACTGTTCACACAAGGCCTTTTTTTTTTTCTAGCAATATCTTCTCTATTTTTTGTTTATTTTTTTAATATAATGTATTGTCAGATTGACTTACATACAACACCCAGTGCTCATCCCAACAGGTGCCCTCCTCAGTGCCCATCACCCCTTTCCCCTCCCCCCCACCCCCCATCCACCCTCAGTTTGTTCTCTGTATTTAAGAGTCTCTTACGGTTTGCCTCCCTCACTCTCAGTTTGTGACTCTTTTTTCGCCCTTCCCGTCCCCCACGGTCTTCAGCTAAGTTTCTCAAGATCCACATATGAGTGAAAAGATATGGTATCTGTCTTTGTCTGACTGACTTACTTCACTCAGCATCCATGTTGCTGCAAACGGCATGATTTCATTCTTTCTCATTGCCAAGTTGTATTCCATTGTATATATAAACCGTGTTGTCTTTATCCATTTGTCAGTTGATGGACATTTGGGCTCTTTTCATAATTCGGCTATTGTTGAAAGTGCTGCTGTAAACATTGGGGTACACGTGCCCCTGTGCATCAGCACACCAGTATCCCTTGGGTAAATTCCCAGCAGTGCTATTGCTGGGTCGTAGGGTAGTTCTATCTGTAATTTTTTGAGGAACCTCCACACTGTTTTCCAGAGCGGCTGCACCAGTTTGCATTCCCACCAACAGTGCAAGAGGATTCCCGTTTCTGCACATCCTCCCCAGCATCTAGTTTCCTGATTTGTTCATTTTAGCCATTCTGACCAGCATGAGGTGGTATCTCAGTGTGGCTTTGATTTGTATTTCCCTGATGAGGAGTGACGTTGAGCATCTTTTCATGTGTCTGTTGGCCATCTGGATGTCTTCTTTGGAAAAGTGTCTATTTATCTCTTGTGCCCATTTCTTCACTGGATTATTTGTTTTCAGGTGTGGAGTTTGGTAAGTTCTTTATAGATTTTGGATGCTAGGCCTTTTTCCGATACGTCATTGGCAAATATCTTTTCCCATTCCATTGGTTGCCTTTTAGTTTGGTTGATTGTTTCCTTTGCGGTAAGGAAGTTTTTTATCTTGGTGAGGTCCCAATAGTTCATTTTTGCTTTTAACTCCCTTGCCTTTGGAGATGTGTCTAGTAAGAAATTTCTGCGACTGAGGTCCAAGAGGTTGTTGCCGGCTTTCTCCTCTAGGATTTTGATGGTATCCTGCCTCACATATAGGTCTTTCATCCATTTTGACTTTATTTTTGTGTATGGTGTAAGAAAGTGGCCTAGTTTCATTCTTCACATTGCTGTCCAGCTTTCTCAGCACTGTTTGCTAAAGAGACTGTCTTTATTCCATTGGATATTTTTTTCTACTTTCTCAAAGATTAGTTGGCCATACATCTGTGTGTCCAATTTTGGGTTCTTTATTCTATTCCATTGGTCTATGTGTCTGTTTTTGTGCCAATACCATACTGTCTTGATGATAACAGCTTTGTAGTAGAGGTTAAAGTCTGGGATTGTGATGCCTCCCGCTTAGGTCTTCTTCTTCAACATTACTTTGGCTATTCAGGGTCTTTTGTGGTTCCATACAAATTTTAGGATTGCTTATTCTAGCTTTGAGAAGAATCCTGGGGCAATTTTGGTTGGGATTGCATTGAATGTGTAGATTACTTTGGGTAATACTGACATTTTAACCATATTTATTGTTGGAAACCATGAGCATGGAATGACTTTCCATTTCTTTCTGTTTTCTTCAATATCCTTCATAAACTTTCTACAGTTTTGAGCATACAGATCTTTTATATCTTTGGTTAGGTTTATTCCTAGGTATTTTATAGTTCTTGGTGCAATTGTGAATGGGATCAGTTTCTTGATTTCTCTTTCTGTTGCTTCATTATTGGCATATAAAAATTGGTTTTGTATCCTGCAACTTTGGTGAATTCATGTATTAGTTCTAGGAGACTTTTGGTGGAGTCTTTCGGGTTTTCCATGTAGAGTATCATGCACACAAGGATATTTTTGAACGTGAAGTGGCACTGTTGAAAATCACACAGCGATGATGTGGAAACCATAATGTTCACTTGCCTTGTCTGCAACTCCCTGTAAGGCCTGGGCCATATTCACCCTGCTCCCATTCACTCTCTCTGCACCTGCACATCTGCTTGCTTTTCAGTCTTTTGTACTTTTCAGGTTCACTCCCCATGTTTGCTACCACCACAGGGCCTTTGTGCCTGACATCACTCAAGTGTCTGACTCCTACTGATCTTTTAGCCCTTAGCTTCTGCATGGCATCTCATTAAGTAGGCTAAAGGTTAAATATTTTTTATATGTTCTTACTACAGTGACAAGTACAATTTAACATTTAATTATTTGAATGAATACTAGTAATAGACTGGTGATATTATATTATCGATACACCAGTCATAGAATGCAGCGGTCAGCACAATGGCAAAACAACCTCTACACAGCTGGCCCTTGACCAACATGGGTTTGAGCTGTGGGCCCGCCTATCTGTGGGTTCTTTGTGGTGCCAAACTGTAAAGGTACTTTCTCTTCCATGTGAGTTTCCTAACCTCTTCTCTTCTCTAGCTTACTGCGTTAAGAGAAACAGTATATAATACGTGTTAAGTTAACTTCTGGGGGGAGTCAGAAGTTGTGTGGGGATTTCTGACCCTCCGCCCGGCGGGGTTGGGTGCACCTACTGCCCATGTTGTTCAAGGGTCAAATGTATATTTAAATTCTGTATTTTAAGTAAAAAGAAACTGGCTATATGGACTCCAGTTTACTGTAAAAATACAGTCTCTGTCTTAGCACTGTTAATATGCTGTTTATTAATTTATTAAAAATACAGTAATTTAATACTCCACTTTAGTAATTCCACAGAGTAACCCAAAATTTGAAGTTAAAACATGGGTTCGTGAGAAGAGGCTGTCCTCAGTGAGAAACCCTTGGCATTTCGAGTGATAATATACAGAATTGGTGGATTCTGGAACAGATGATCTGGGTTTTAAATGATTTTACCACTCACTGTCTGGGTGGCCTTGAGCAAGTTACTTAGTTTCCCTGGGTCTCCCTTTTGCCCATCTGTAGAATGAATATAATAATGGCATCTGGTATTTCATAGGGCTTTTAAGAAAATCAAATCGGGTAGTACCTACAAGATACTTAGAACAGTTTTTGGCACATAGGAGAAATTGAGTGACTACTAGCTGTTACTCTTATCTGTGTTATTGTTACTCTGTTGATTCATTTACGAGATATTTATTCAATATCTGCCTTGTTCCTGGCATTGTTCTAGGTGCTGGGAATTCAGATGTGATCAAGATAGGGCTTGTTGTGCATTTGGTGTGATCCGTTAATACTTCAATTTCATTGTCTGAGAAGTATCCTGACTGAAATAAATGTCATGGTTTGTTGGGGCACATTGGTGGGGAGGAGTTGGGTCCACTTGAAGGTTGAGTCTGCAGTCACAGAACTGGGGAGCAGTGTAGGGCTGGGAAAGAGCACAGAGAAAGGGCCCTGAGATGGAAAGAGCTTAGCCTGGTTAACAGTTAAAAAGTGAGCATGGCTGGATTGTTTATACGTGAGTAGAGAGGGTAGGGGGCCTAACAGAGACAGGAAGCAGATGAGGCAGGTACGTGGGGGGGGGGGGGGGTTGTATAGAAAAATGACAAGCCATCCAATTCTCCTTAATTTACTTCTGAAGAAGCAGAAAGCCATGTGCCCTGAGCAGGGTCATGTAGAAAATTAGTGATGGGGCTGGAACTAGAAGCTAAGTGTCCCATGTTCATATATGCATGTGTGTGTACATGTGTGTATATATACATACATGCGCACACACATGTTTTAACTATTGAAGCATATGTATAAAAATTGCACACATGTTACATAGAACAATTTTCTGTGAAGTTTCACAAAGTGAGCCCCCCTGTTACATGCCCCCCCTGCCCGTTACACCTCCCTGTTACACCCCTCCACTGTTCTATCCCGCAGAGGTAAATTGGTCCTGACCTCTGACACCACACATTAGTCCTGCCTGATTTTGAACTGCTATGAACTTTTGGATGGAAGTGTGTGCTGTAGTAACTTCTTTCTGTCTGGCTTCTTGGCCTGCACATGTCTGAGATTCATGTGTGGGGGTGTGCGCGGCAGTAGTTGTTGCGTTCCCAGTGCTCTGTAGTCTTTTACTGTCGGAACACGTGGAGGTTTCCAGTTTACTCGCCCACCGGAAGTCCCTAAAGAGACAGGGTGTGTGTGTGTGTGTGTGTGTGTGTGTGTGTGTGTGTGTGTGTGATGAAAGATGGATTGTGATTCCTGTCATTTATGTGTGCGTGTTAATCTTGCTTGTCTTTTGTTTTTTTAGCCAGTTGAAGTCTCTATGGAAACATTTCTTTTAGAGCCCACTTTGATACCAAGTGGGTGTCCCTTGGTCACTTTGAAAATAAAATGCCTGGTTGAAACCCAGACTTGCATGACTAGAGATCACCCACTATGCCCCTTGGTTAAAGAGGTATTAATCATAAATGGAAATAGGTTGGATGAATTTGTCACGTTTTCAAATGGTGCTGATCATTGAGCTTTTCAGCCTTTTGAAATATTATCTAGGGTATTACATGCTTCCAGGAGGTCAAGGATGATTGGCTACTTAATTGGGCCAAATAGCCATCATTTATACTTGCTAAAATTAGGTCTCTTTAAATAAGTGATTGATTAATTGGATGTATGCCATTTTCATGTGTATTTCATTCAATTTTTTTTCTTTCTCTCTCTTTTTTTTTTTTTTTTTGAACATTTCAGATGATGTCGTGCCGTATTTTAAGACAGAGCCAGGCCTGCCGCAGATTCACCTGGAAGGCAACCGCCTTGTTCTCACTTGCCTCGCTGAAGGGAGCTGGCCTTTGGAGTTCAAGTGGATGCACAATGACAGTGAGCTCACCACCTACAGCAGCGAATATAAGTAATTGATTGCTTGAAAATAAGATTCCGTTTCAGGCTGATGTGTTTAGAGTATTTGCCTTTTGGGCCATAATAGCACAAGAGGTGAAAATATTTGATTGAATTTCTAATGCATTAGGATTAAAGGGATAGATTTAATTAGAATGTGATTTAATATTCTGATCGACATTGTATTTATAACTAGGAGGTGTATCATTATATTTGTAAAAGGAAGTCTGTTAGCGAAATTACCAGACTGAAAAAAGTTGTAGTTACAGAGGGATGCAAGTAACAGGTTTCGCGTGATGAATTTGCACTCTTGTGGCAACGGCCCCACCCGCCAGTGTCGTTCGTATTCAAGGAGCATGAATATTTAGACAGAGATCTTTATTTTTTTTATTTTTTTATTTTTTCAACGTTTATTTATTTTTGGGACAGAGAGAGACAGAGCATGAACAGGGGAGGGGCAGATAGAGAGGGAGACACAGAATCGGAAACAGGCTCCAGGCTCTGAGCCATCAGCCCAGAGCCCGACGAGGGGCTCAAACTCCCAGACCGTGAGATCGTGACCTGGCTGAAGTCGGACGCTCAACCTAACCGACTGCGCCACCCAGGCGCCCCTAGACAGAGATCTTTAAATCAGGAGCTTCTGGAGCTCTGAGTCGTCAACAGAAAATTGACCCGGCTAACTTTCAGAGTCAGGACAGGGAGGATGGAAGTGTGGGGGAGGGGCGTGAGCACAGCATCTCATCCAGCAAGGATGTTCACTCGAGTCCTGGGTGTGGCTGCAGTGAGCCCAACACCGGGCAGAGAACAAGTGGTGAGCGGGGACGAGGACGAGATGCAGCCACATGGGAGGTGTGGCTTCACCCAGCACCAGTGGCACCAGCTCTTGAGCCTCCGTGTCTCCTTGTGGTGCCAAGGTCTTTCGGGTTCGAATCTCAGCTTTAGCTTCCGTTTCTGTGTGGGCTGGTTATACCAGATGCAACAGTTCTGAGGATGGGGAACTGGTGACTTCCTAAAAAGTCCAAAAGGTCCCCAGATCAGCGCAATCAGCAATGTCATGCTCTTATTTAACTAAGAGAATTGGCTGTTCAGAGGTGTTTTAAATAGAGTAATGAGTTCTCAACGTGGGGCATAACCCATCACCTACTCTTGAAAAGTTAGAGGTTTGGGGCACCTGGCTGGCTCCGTCAGAATAGCATGTGACTCTTGATCGAGGGGTTGTGAGTTCAAGCCCCATGCTGGCTGTAGAGACTACTTAAATAAACTTAAAAAAATAAAAAAATAAAAGAGGGGCACCTGGATGTCTAAGTCCATTAAGAGTTCGATGCCTGATTTTGGCCCAGGTCATGATCTCATAGTAGATTGAGCCCTCCTCAGGCTCTGCTTTGACAGCACAGAGACTGCATGGGATTCTCTGTCTCCCCCTTTTCTCTTTCTTTCTTCCCCCTCTCAAAATAAATAAGCTTAAAAAAATAAAAACTTACCTGCTATTTACCTTTTGGGATGAGCACTGGGTGTTGTATGGAAACCAATTTGACAATAAATTTCATATATTGAAAATAAAATAAAATAAAATAAAATTGTAAGATTTCATATAAAAATCCACTCTCTGATCCCTCTTGACCAGGCAGAAGGCCTGGCCACTCAGCTCTGGCCTCCGCGCACCCCCCTCCCCCCCCCGCCACAGAAGCAGGTGCTGGCCAGTGCTCCCCTTCAGGAAGGGCTCAGTGCTCTGGTCCCCACATCATCTGTATGACGCCACACTTGGTTTGCTCAGTTCTCTTCTTCCCCTGCCCTTTGTAGACATAAGAGTTTGTGACCTCCTCTTTCATGATCAGGCCTGTACTGTCAGGGTATCTGCTGTTGTAGGAGCAATTTATCATAATACTTACGAGCATGTTGACATCAACAGACTCAGGTTTGAATCCCAGCTCACTACCAATTAGCATTAGCAGTGTGATCTCCTGCAAGCCACTTATCAGTTCCACTTTTAACGTCTGCAAAATGGGGCTGATCGTACCTCATTTGTCGTGTTGTGAGCGTTAAAAGGTGCTAATGTAGGTAAAACAGTGTATGTTCTGGCCCACAAGCAATCTGCTAATAAATCCTAGGCGATACTGTATATCATCATAATGAGACATTAGGGTACTTGGTTTGTTAGGAGGGGCATAAGAAAGAAAAAGACAAAAAGTAAGCTTAGAAATGAGAAGCATGTGTGAGTGATGGGCTTTAACAGCAGGTGCCTTGAATTCGGATATTTCTATTCAATTTACTATTTGTGTGACTTTGGACAGGTTACCTAACCAGTTTGATCTTGCTTTTCTCATCTGTAAAATGGGTATAATAAAACTCAATTCAGAGGGTTGTCATAAAAATGAAATGACATAATGTTTTGTATGCCCCTGGGAGAAAGGGATGAAGTCTCAGAAGAATCCAGATTGTTCTTCCATATAAAAAATAGTAATGTGGATGATATATAATGATGGTGTTCAGATTGAGGTATGTGGTCGTGGATAGTGGCAAAGGAATTGCTTTCTAGATGTTCAGTTTCCATATGTGTGTTTTCTGAGGTTGAGCTGACTGAGAACATGCCTTTTTGCAGACACCCGGGATTCTGCCCTTTTGTGCTGTTTGCCCCAGTTCGCCGAAGGAAGGCTCACTTTCCCCATCTGAGTCCTCCTGTGGAACTGCCTCTCAGGTGCAGGACGAGTGCCTACGTCCAAATATTTGGCTTGAACAAAATGAGGGGCTCTTTTAGACAACCCCTGAAGAGCTACTTGGCCTCTAGTCTATACATATTCCTTTTAAGGAAAAGTAGGGCTCTAGAAATGGGATATTTTGACCATTCTTGAATTTTTAAAAAAAAAAATTGGGACATGTTGTACATAGGTAGGCAGCAAGAGCTGTACCATTTTTTTTGAGACAACCCCACCATTTCCATTCTCCAACTGTCCTCAGAGAATATATTGTGCCTCAAGGGACGTGTAGTGAGAACAAAGGAAAGAGCGCGTGCAAGTTAGATCTCCACGGCTGAGGGCACCTTGTCTTCTCCGGGCAGCATGCTCACAGCGGCGCCCCGGGGTGTGTCCACTTACACGTAGCAGAAGCAGAGTATTCCAGAGCTGTTGGAAAGAAGAAACAAGCTGTGAAATACTCTTTAATGAAGCACACTCTGTCTGCATTTCACCCTCCTCTGTAATGAGGCTGAGGGCTCAGTGGCACATTTCAAGGAGGAGGAGGAAGAAAGTTCTGTTTACTTCCATCAGATCCATGTTGTATCTTGATGTACGAAGAACATGCATGATAGGAAAGTTAGGGCTTTGTATTTTCTCAAACATTTATTCAGAAGACACTTTCATTAACTTCTGCAAAAGAGATGATTTGAGATTCTAAATCCATATCCTTTTTCATTACTTTCCTGTGTTTTGATTGTTGCTATGCTTCAATCTCTTCTCTAGTTTATTTCCTTCTTCCGTGTACTCTTTAGATTTAAATGAACTGTATGCAAATATGTGGTCAGTACCTTCTCTTTGTTGTTAATTTCTATCCAATTTTATTTATTCTAATAGTAAATAACTTGACATTCAGTGAAATAAAAAGTAATTGAAAAAAAAACCAGCCACTATCCTCCCATTAAGAGACACATTTTCTAAGTTTTTAATGCTTAATAATTATATTTCAAAGTTTGTGATACATTTATTTTTTTTTGATAAACTAATAATAATAGTTGCCATGACCCTGTAATACAGAAGAATTTTTTTAAGCACTTAGAATGTTTTGATCAAAGGACATCCTTTTTAAATTGCCATTTGTATGTGTATTTTTATTTCAGAGAAGTATGATGGATAATCAAGAAGTATCTTTGAAGCATAACAATATATTACATAAGAATAAAATTCTATGGGATAAATAGACCTACTAATTAAGTTCAAAGAGTAAAATGGAGCAGTATGAAGGTTCCTATCTGTTAAAGAGTTCATTATTAAAGAAGGGATGATGTGTGTTTCAAAATCATTATATTATTTATATTCCATTGGATCCATGTAAAACAGCGGTGTAATAGTTTTATTCTAAAATGCTAAACCACACACCATGCCACTATTATATGTGCAGCTGCTGAGACTTAGGATAAAACAGTTCTGGTGTCCACTCGAAAATGTGCAAGGAGATGGAGGTTTTTTGGCGTTGCTCTTTGCACTAGAAATTTTACCTGTTAATTTGACATTCCCTGGATAATCCTCAGGAAGGCAAAGCATTGTGGGTCACTGAGGCAGGATTGCAGGGGCAGCTCATTATACGTGGACCATTACAATGGGGTAGATGCTTCCTTCCCATTTCCCTGGAAACTTAGTAGGAAGAAATGGGTGGTTCTAAAGCACCAACAGTTTGGGAACAATGTGATAAATTATATTCTGTTCACTGAGGGCTTCAGACACCCAGATGGGTTGTCAAGGATCCATAGTATTTTGTCCTCCCTTTTTTCAAGAAATAAACGCTGCCCAAAAAGCTCATGCTCTTTTTTCAAATTACTCTTTCATCTACTTCCTTCCAATAAGCACCTTCAGCTGTCATATGTTAACCTTCATTAGACATTCTAAGTCTCAAATTGAAAAACATGGCTACTTTATGAAAATGGTAGTGGTTTTTTCTCTGAAATTGAGTCCCTCTCCCCCCCCTTTGATGTCACTATGAAAATGCTAATCCTATAAAAGGAAAATAATATAAACTCACCTTTTCCAGCTTTGACTGGAAATAGCATTTTCTTTGCTGCTTGTGTTACAAGCTGCCCCCAAAATTTCAGTGAGTCGCGAATGTTATTCCCATGGATGCTTATATCCACATTCAGGCATAGGTGATCCTGTAACCACAATTGTAATAGTTAGGTCATTAAACCAGGTTTGCATAGCTGTCAAAGGCAGATGGGTCTCTTTTTTTTCCCCCAGAAAGTATTTATTCTCAATTACTTTCTACTTGGAGATAAAAAATTACATTCGGATACAGGTAGATAGATGTCTA